TGAAAGGATGAAGAGGGAGTAATTTAGACTATGATTAACAGCTACCTTCTGTATCTGTTTTTCATAATATAAGCCCATTTCTGCTGTTTCAATCTGGTAGAAGTCAGTTGGGATACTGATATTCTTAAAATGGAAATATAAATCAGTCCAACAGTCATACAAGGCACATACCTCTTGAAGCAAGCTAATGAGATTCCACTGAGCTATTTCTAACATTACAATATGAGGGATAAAAGTACTATATACCAACAAATTTTATTTGAATTCAGGAAATTTTCTGATAGAAAATTAAATCTTGATTACAAATTATATCTGGATTTAAATCATTATACTGAAGGCCACCACAGCAAGAATACTCGTAACTGGGGGTTCCCCGTTCCTATTTAATATGTTCTAACAAAATTGTTATGCCCCTTCTTATTCACTGGAAGAATAAGGGAGTATTTTCCTCAAAATGAAGAACTTTTTCCGTAACATAATCTGCAGAGTCACCAGTTACCTGACAGCTGCCTTTGGCTTTCAGTCCTGTCCCCAGCCTCCACAAAGAGAACAAGGGGCTCATAAAAAAGGAGGACAAGGCAGCTATTGGTCAGCACTACTGCAAGCTTAAGCCCAAAGTCCTCGAGGCATTAGGTGCAGCTGTGTTAGTTCTCAAAAGAAAAAAAAAATCCTGATGTGTTATTTAGACATTGGCATACAAAGCTCCGTCCTCTTTTAAACTTCCACCAAACCAGTATCAAATACTTCCTCTCCAGTGAGAAACAACATCTCTATTAGAGGACACAAAATCATGTCACACTTTTGGACAAAGTCTGCTCCTTTTCATTTGAGACTGCATCATCTGCCGTGTTTTCAAACGAGAGCGATGACTCCTCCCTGAAACACTGGCGCTGGCCTCAGCCACATGCGTTATCAGGGAGAGCCACGACAAGTCTCCCGCTGTTTCATGTTTCATCCTATGACTGGCACTGCTCCTCCTTCCTTCCTTCAGTTATTAACATTATCCCAACAATGGCACTATTAATCAGTAAGTGGAAAGCAGCAGACTATTTTTTAAATCTCTTCTTCAAATTATCAATAAACCATTTTAAAGTGTGGTGCTAAGAAGGACTAATGCTCAGTGGGCCACTTCCACAGCCTGGACAGACAGACAGACATGGGAGGCTTTGCCTAGACAGGCATGTTGAACAGTTGCCTCCAGGACAATAAACAACTGGTATTTAAATTATTTTGTTAGCATCACCCCACCTCCTTGGCTGACACCCAGCTCCGTGGCAGCTCATGGCTACCATTTTGCCAGTTAAGTAGGGCCAAGCTTTCGCCCATGATGATGGGAGCCAGCAAGCAGCTGACTTTGCAGGAAGCAAGTACAAAGTCATCCCCTTAAAACCAAGGGTACAGTTAAGGACAACATCAAGTTTTTTAAAATAAGATTCCGGATCCCAGACAGATAAACAGTCTTAGGCCTTTGATGTACTGAGAATTCCCCTCAAGATACTGACTAGAGCTGTGTGAATAATTGATTTTCTCAGCTGAATAGCTGAAGCAACCAACCAAACAAACCCCAACTTGTTTGTTAATTAATTTTTTTTTTCCTTTGAAAACTGAAGGAAAAAAAAAATCATAGTTTGGGACTCTTGAATTCTTTCATTCAAACAGGAATCTTCTCTCTTTCATTTTAAGTATTTTTTTTTTCCAGACAAAAAACATCTAAAAATGCAATATTAGATTCATGATAGGAAGCAAGGGTACACATCCCATAAGGCAAGACATCACTCAAGCAAGGTCACCTGAGGCGTACGGTTCCTGCTTAGTGCAATCTGAAGAAACAGCCACCCTGCTTTAAAATCCTGCCCCTGGGAGACACGCTCAGATTTGGGAACCTGGACCCAGGCTTCCCTGCATACAAGGGCGATGTGAACTAACAGAAAAGTGCTACCTTTTAATTGCTGTGTTGCACGCTTACATCTCCTTACAGACATCATTCTTAAGTAAAATGTTTCACCTGTGAGATGTCAGAATGACTTGATTCTTGTTTTACTCTGATAAAAGGTCCATTAAAAAAAAAAACCACCTTAATTTGTCAAGAATCTTGACTTCCTGAAAATGTATTTTTAGTGTCGTCATCTGCTATCAAAAAAAAAAAAAAAAGTCATATACGTTCATAGGTTACTGTTAGCTCTGACAAAACAACAGACCAAGAAGCGCTGTGTTTTTCTCTGAAGAACTGTCAGAGATCAGCAGCATTACAGTTAGCTCGGCAAAATGGGACTGATAGGAAACACTGAATGAAATCAGCCGCCTTGGTCTGATAACTCAAATTGCCAAAAGGAGGAACGTACGCTGGCGGGAAGTTCAGTTCTGCCTACTCACAGTGGCGCCCGCGCCGGCGAGGCACGCTTTTGGATGCATCACGGGGCTCGAGTATTCACCATGATTTCAGGCTAAATCACGGCTCTGTGAACCGGTGACATTTCTCCAGAAGGTCCCATTTACCCACTGGTGCCGGCAGTGCACCAGCTCCCACTTGGCCTCATGGCTGCTGCCATTTGCTCGTGCAGGGTCGTTCTGAGGCGGTGGAGAATGGACCTTGGCCTTCCAGCCTTTCTGATTAATAGCAAGCATGCTGAATATTTCATGCTATCACAGAGTGCTTACAGAAATTACACAATTAACCTGGTGGAAGCCATCGCTATTTGTTCAGGATGGTTCCTTGCAGGCACTGAGACTACCCACAGCACAGCAAGAGTTACCCAAAACCAGCCCCACAGCTCCGGGAAACACAGCGCCTCAGCTCTCAACGTTTCAGTGGCTCTGTTTTCATTTTTAAAAAAAACATGGTCAGAAGTAGATTACCTGTAAAATGAAAAATGAAACGCAGATAGGGGAGCGCCTGTTGTATTTTGAGCCCAATTATGCAATGGAGTCAGGATTACATAACGAGGGGAGTGTGATTACAGGAACGTGGGTCCCATGACGTGGAGCCTGGCTATGATGACAGGCTGGCAACCCATCATGGACTGCACCTCTGTAACCCAGAAATTAACTTTAAATTATTGAAACGTGAACGTTACACCTATTTAACTACAAAGTTACTGGAAGAAATTTATTTCCGACTTTTTTTTTTTCAACCCATGCACCTTTTTTGGGTGGGGTTTTTTTTTTTTTTTATAATTAACTTTGTAAACTTCTGGAAGACTGTTATTGAAACTCTTGCATTTTAAATGTGTTTATTAATGATACACATATAAACACACTCTTATCACAAACTACTACTACTTTCTGGAAATCTCTTAAGTGGTTTAAGGAAGAAAATCGCCAGATTATGTAGCTTAATATGTATTACTAATGAAACAATTTAGTGCTTTTCTTCACTGAGTCCTTTTATGATCTCCGTAAATCTTAATTTAACCCTTTTACACTCAACATTCAATACTGCAGAAATATGCTAAACTATTAAAAAAACCTGAGAGAATTTAGCATTGTCCTTCTAAATCCTCGTTTAAAATAATGAGAACTATGATCTCTATAAAAAGAGATGGGTTAACAAATAGTGAGATGTAGTAGGAGTAGCTACAGAACTTCAACATACCCTAGGCTCAATGTAAATTAAGACTCTTCCCCCACCCCCCGTAGATGTTTTTTATATCCCAAGGTGACCTAGGAAACTTGACCTCTTCAAATGAAGTGCAGAGAAAAGTATTTTCATCTGATTTAAAAAAGGAACAGTAGGCCCAAATCCAACAGAGAAAAAGAAGGAAAAGCCCCTTACTGAAGAGTCTGTTAAATAATCAGAATTAATTTTCAGTCTTAAGAGAAACCAAGCCCTTACTTCTGCTCATGCAAGCAGTTCCATGGAGACAAACAGGAGTAACCTCATTTTTAAGCAAATTAAGAATATTATTACTCTTTCCTCTGCTTCTTGCCAAGATACGAATGTAAGTTACCTAGCATCATTTACTGACAGATGCGGAGCTGTGCATGTCCCCTGGGTTGAAGGGCACTCATGAAGAGAGCAGGAAAATCACCTTGCCACAGCCATGTGTATATTGGCCACTACAATAACCACAAAGAAAGACTGGCTACGAGTTTCACCAGCGAGATTCACCCATTTATTAAAAACGTCTTATGAAATACTTCTCTTCTAAGCATATTCTGCAGGAGAGAAAGAAAAAAGCATAAAACGCATTGACTCAGTTCAGACGAGATCCTGTGCCGGGGGAACCAGGCACCTCCTCCGGAGAGGAGCGCTGGCAGGAACCACCTAGCTGCCGTAACTGCAGTACATACCCGAAATTACTTGTTCCTTTGAGGCAGGGTTGTTTTTAAACGGGTACAACTTTGCCGGCAGCTCAGGCAGCAGTTCCAGGTGTGACCCGGTGGCCCCCCTCTGCCCTGTGCGCCAAGCCCCAAGCCCGGGAGCACGGGGGTCGCCTCTTCTCCCCCGAGGGATGCTATGCAGGACAGCACCAGACAAAGACCTGGGGGCAGCAGCTCCAGCATCGCGCCCTGCGCCAGCACTTCACGCAAGGAGACCAGCAAGTATGGCCGACTAGGAGGTGAAGGGCAGGAGGCGGGGGACTCTAATCCCAAACCCCACTGGAGCCCGACGAGCCCCTTTTGCTTTGGGGCGAGGGAGGTGCCCCTCGTGGGCGACGGTCAGGGCATCTCTGTGCCAGACGCAGCGGAGCCGAGCATAGGGACAAAAGACACGCGGGAGGACACTACGGATGCATGTGCTCCCTGCCCCCTCCAAGCTGCCCCGTACCCCCGCCGCACCCGCCTGAGGGGACCCCAAAGCAGAACGCGTGGGTCCCTGCCTCCTCCTCACCGGCGAGGCCAGGTCCTCGGGGAGAGGGGGGTGCTGTCCCCCCGGCCCGGCCAAGGTCAGCCACGGGCGGGCCCCGACCGGCTGCCCGTTGGGGTTCCCACCCAAAGGCACCCCCCCACAGCCCACCTCGCCCCGCGGCACGCAGAGCGAGAGCCCACAGACCCCCTACCTGCCCCTTGACCAAACTGGCCGCAAACTGCCTCATGACGGCCTCCACGGTGTAGGCGCTGGACCAGCCGCGGGGGGTGAGCAGCTCCATGCAGATGGCTCCGCCGTCGAGGACGTAGCCGTTCTCCAGGCGGGGGCTGAGCACCCTCATGAAGGGCGGCGAGAAGGGGAAGTTGTCGGGGAAGGTGAGGTTGAGCAGGATGTACTCCGTGTTGGTCTCCTTCATGTCCTGCCACAGCACCGAGTCCTTGTCCACCTGGTGCAGCTTCACGTTCCAGTCGAAGAGGCTCTCGTCCACCAGCTCCACCGAGATGAAGCGGTCGCTGAGCCGCGCGATGTCCTGCAGCTCCTTCATCAGCCGCCGGGTCCGCACCTGCGTGCAGTGCTGCTG